CATTGTATTTGGTGTAACCTTATATATATATATATATATATATATATATATATATATATATATGTTTCATTGATTGCATCTGATGAATGCAGAACACATAAAACTGAGTTGTGCTCAATGTAACATATATATATATATATATATATATATATATATATATATATATATATATATATATATATATATTTATTTCTTTACATGAAATAGTTCTGTTATTTAACCTTAAGCACTGTTTTATCTTAGTATTTATATGTACTTGTATCCGATCACTCACTCGTACATCTACCTAGATTTACCCATTTGGTTATATACACGTGTGTGTGTGTGTTTATTCTTTAAAAAAAATAATCTATTTCTCATTGTCTTATTTCAATAATTTGCCTGCAGACTTATCTGAATATAAAAACTTAAAACTGGCTAATTTGGTATTGTGTCAAATGTTTCAAAGAGAGGAATTCTTCTTGCACCTTTTTTCATATTTTCTTAAGTATCTAACTTGAAGGAAAATTTGAAAATGTATTTCTTAATTAGACAACATATGAAAAAGCATATGTGTATTTTCTTTCTCTATCTATTTGGTCTATCCTGCCCACAACCCACCTACTTTGCTATAAAATCTAAAAGCGAATTCCTCTCTTAAATGATGTCAACTTACTATGAAGCATTTGACCAAATGGATTCTATATACATGGTTACATGTATTGTAGTTCTAAATAGATGAAATTATATGTCATTAAATATTTATAGTTATCAAAATAAGTCATTCCAAAATATTTTCTGCAGCTTTCTTCAGTCTAAATAAAAATCTAAAATAAATTCTAATTACCATTAAACAGAAATATAAAATTTTACAAACAGTAATATGTAATCAAAAAATAAAAATTACAAACAGTAATATCTAACCATAAAACTGAAAGAGCCAATTATTTTGTTTCATCAAAATCATCTTTTTGTTACTTTCATCCGTTGTCTAGCAAGATTAATAACTTACATACTTTTTTTAAAATTCAAAAATCTGATATATATATATATATATATATATATATTATATATATATATGAAAAAGATTATCTATTAGTTTAATTACACTTACTAGTTTTCTGTTACTGACATTTGTTAATAAATTTTACAATTTTCCCATTCACATACATATATAAATATATTTTGATAACTATGATTATCTCCCTTCATATTATTGAACATGTGCTTAGTCCACTATCTGAGACCACAGAATATGTTTTTTAATCATTTCACCCCAAACAAGGCAGTAATGCCATTAAGACACAAAGGATTAAAATAGATAAGAAAAAAAATTTTCATATATTACAGACATGTTGGAGATTCTAAATTTTTCTTCTCTATTTTCAAAGTAAAAAATACAAAATCATTTCTCACTTTAAATGATTCATCAGTTACTAAAAAATGACCAGTTCCATAGCAAATACATTAAATGCAGCTTTGTGTGAACAAATATTTTAAAAATAAACCACAACAGGAACAAATTATAAACAGAGTAAAAAATTAAAATTATAAGAAAAACAATTACATCAAATAGACTGGAGGAATACAACTAATAATAAGGTGGGTGTAGTAATTGTTGAAAGAAGAATGTATCTACTTTTGTTATCAAATTCTGAAGTTGGCTTTTTTCTTAGGTAAACCATCAATATAATTATATCACACCAAATAGTTTGAAGCTCATACATGTCTCCCATATTGAAATTTAATTTAAGCTTTAAACAGTAATACTAAAAGTACCTCCTGATTTGAAATAAGCAATAATAGAACAAACATAAAAAGATTATTTTTAATTATCTCTAAGTAAAATAATGAAACAAGACTCAAGATAATAGTTAAGTGATAATCACTTTAGTGGATTTACAATTTTTGCTGTGTGACTGCCATTTTGTGAAATGATATATATTGTGATAAGATAGGGTAGTAATATTAGTTGATAGTGATGCCTTGAAGCGTCTTTAAACAAGAAAGTATAAGAATGAATACACAATTATATACAGTTAAAAATAATATTTTATTGCCTTAGCAAACTATACAGAATAAGAATACACAAGTGTGTATTTCAATCCTGGCTTGAAGCAATTGCATTTCTAGCTACACTGATGATCTGTGATGCAGCAGTCTGTCTGTGGATGACTATATACACCCCATCTCATAGAGTGTAACACTTTGGAAGAAAGGGAATTTGTTGCCTGCTGCTCATTAATGCTAAAAGCTCTTTGCTATGAATTGAGCACTCTGGTAGCTGGTAATGCTTATATCTTGTAGATAATGCATTGAAAATTCCCTTTCTCCACCACATGCACTGATGGCCTAAGGGCGAGAGTCTCTGACCGATTTCAAATCAGTCGGGTTGCAACCCCGGCTGGAAGCAATTGCATGTTTAGCCACACTAATGAGCTGTGATGCAGCAAAAGAGTTTATCTGTGGATGATAATATATATATATATATATATATATATATATATATAGAGAGAGAGAGAGAGAGAGAGATTGATAATACTAGTGATATATATATATATATATATATATATATAAATAAATAAATAAATTCCCAAGAGGATAGAATCCAGGTAGAACTCAATGTCCAAGACAGAGTAAGAATATAATATAAAAGGCTCAAACACTAATATTCCATGGTTATAATTTATTACATTGGAATCATAATCACGAACCAATTCATCAGACCTACAAATTCAAAAAATGTATGCTTAGGATATTTTTCTTGTGTATACTATGTGGAGTGAAAACAGTCAATCATCAAATGACAAAGAAATGACTTCTGAGTCAGTGGATTCATGCATCCTTCTGGTTAATAAATTAATCTTTTGAAAGTAATTATTTAGAATATTTCAACAAATGGAGCAAGTTCCCATCAACAATAAAAAACATGATTTGTGATCCTATTGAAGGGTATTTAAGCAAAGCTTCTAGACCAGACTAGCCAGTAAGAAATGGCAACAGTATATGATGGAGGCTTTAAAGAGATTACCTTACTCATTCATCCTTCTTTCTCACCAAGTTATGTGACATTTACACTTTCCTCATCATTTTCTTCCTTGCCTATTTTTTCACACACATACATGTGAAGAAATCACTTTTTCATCTTAAACTACAAAGAAAGAAAGTAAAAACTTTATTATTCATATACATTAAGAAAAATTTAGTTGTAAAAACATGAAAATAAAAACATTTATATTTTTAAGCCTTTTTTGCCTTTTTCTTTTTTTGTGGGTTGATTCAAACTCATAACAACTATACAATGTTGTGTTCATTGCAACATGTTATTTGCTGGAGGCCAAAAGGGTCCCCCCAGTAGTAAAGTGAGGTATGACTTATCTTAAAAAAATAAAAAAAAATGAACAAGTCTTTTGTGTCATTTTCTTACATACTACTTTTGGAAACACCATCTAGTGGCAGTTAGCAGACTTTCTTTGGCAGACAAGTGGAGTAATTTTGATATCGTCAATGAACACTTTCCCACAATCCCTAGAAGTAGTTACTTTGTCTCCCAGAAAGAAATTATATTATAATCCCCTCCCCACACACATATTCTTCATAGTAAGCAAAACGTTCTACTTGTTTTTTCCTGAGAATTGCCACTTTATTGAAAACTGATGTCGATATTTTTTTGAACACTACTGTCTTAACCATTTTAAGTCAAGGGCTAATCACTATCTATCCACCTTATCCTCATGATATTCACTTCCTTCTACTCCTTATGTCCTTCAATAACCTACTATGGTTGACTCTTGATAGATGTATTGAGTGAAATTTAGTACAAAAAATAATTCATTTATGATTAAAAGTTGACATGATGTTAAACTATATTTTTTAAAAAAGTTGATATATAAGTATGCTTGAGTATTATTAGCTGTTTTCCATGAATATTCCTTGCTAAATTACAGGTGGATGCTATACAGCTGAAAATACAATTTTATATGCTAGTCACATGTTTCATTAAAATATGACATCATCTCAATAGTTTGGATAGTTTACAAATATCAGAAATTTAATTGAAAATAATAATCAATTAAATGATAAATTTCAAGAAAGTAATTTTAATTTGCCTTTTATAAATACTATTTTAATAAAGTATAGTTTATATTAATTATGCTAATTTTACTTTTAAATAATGTCATGAAATATTAATTTTAAAAGCAATACTGAAAATAATTTTTTTGGTATTTTGAGAAATCAGATTTTTATATTTGTTTATGGAAAAAGTTATCCCTCCAACATGAAAATGAATGCTTGACAATCTTTTCACAGATGAAGAAACTTGAAGCAACAGAAATGTGATTCTACAGAAGGATGCTGAGAATATCATGGATCAAACAGGTGAACAATGGTAAAGTTTTAGAGAAAATGGAAACAAAAAGTACTCTTATTCTTAATATCAGAAAGAGAGATGAAATTTTTAGGATTCAAAATGAAGAGGATTAAAAATTTGACACTGACAAGATGTCTTGATGGCAAGGGGTCAGAGGAAAGCAGAACATAATTTGACTAATGAGCTTGTTTCAATGATTAGCAGAACAGGAATTAGGAGAGATAGTAAAAAGACAAAATTTATTAAGAGCTACAAAGGACAGAAAATTGTCCAGAAACATGATCACCAACATCCTTAATGGACATAGCATATAAAATTTTCATTCTTCCTTGTTTGAATTTGTGAGATTACCCCACTTGTCTATCAAGAAACTTATGCTAATGACAGTTTCTGTATAAAAGCAGTATAAAAGAAAAAAAGTAAAAACAGTCTCTTTATTTACTTGCAGGATGTTGTAAGGACCAGATTTGTTTTGTTTCCTTCCTGGGGCATTTCTTAGTCCTTAACAAACCATATTGTACACAACATAGCATACAAATTCCATCAACTGATAACTCTGCCAAATCAAGAAGAAACTTTTTTTTAATATACACACTTTATATTACTTCAAAAAGAAAGTTTTCCTTACTGTAATGCTAGTCCATGACATCTAGGGGATATTGATAGGAAAGGAGTAGATAGAACCTTACAAGCAGTGGGAAAAATTACAGAAGAGAATAATCAATAGATGTTATAATATAGAGATGGCTTTCCCCTTTCCAATATTTTCGTATAATTGATATTAACAATGTTGTTTTTAAATATGACTTTAAAAAAAAAAAAAAAAAAAAAAAAAAAAAAATTAAAATTTGTTAAAAAAATTTTCAGAATTTTTAATTTTTAAAACTGAATTTTTTTTTGTTTTATTGTAAATCTTGACAAAAGGAACAAACTAATTATAATTTTTAAAAGAAAAACTATCTTGTTATTTTGTTTATGCATATATGAGTAATTTTGTATTATTCTGATTTGTTCTTTTTATGAACTAAAAGAAAAACTATACAAAGATGAAGCATGAAGTGTTTAAATGGTGGCATTTCTGCTGAATAAATATTTTGTAATCATTTTTTTTTTTTTTTTTTTTTTTTTTTTTACAATAGATTTTTTTTTACTTGTCTTGTCTTCCATAGCAAAAATCACAATGATTAATTTTAGCAGAAATGTGTGAGGGTTCTCAGGCAAAATAAAAAAAATAAAATAAAAAAAAAGATAAAAGAAAAAAAAAGACTTAATTCCTTTTACCAAGTTTCTTATAACAAAAGGTGGTTGCAATTCAAAATGTTTTGGAAAGCTTGATGTAGAGTATTATATCACAGTAAAAATCATACAGTATCTATCAAAAAAAAATTATCCAGGAAACAAAAACAACAAAACAAAAATACTTCCTGGTTAGGCATCCATTAATTCCTTAGAAATCTTAATGTTCTTCTTGTTTAGTTTGCTAAGTCAAAAGGTGGTGGCTAATTGTGCACTATTGTTTGTAATTTCATTTCTATCCTCTTTTCAAGAGAGCTCCCATGCATCCACAACAATATCAATACACTGTCTTCTCACACAAACATAAATCCTATTAATTAATATTAATATTTGCAACATGAGATATTAATTTAAAAATTAACTTTTATTTGAAAGCGGATTTTCTGTAGTCCTGTTGTCTTCATGCAAAACATTATTTAAAGAAAAGCGTTCACCAATGATTCATCATCTTCTGTCTCATGACACAGCTGTTTGAGGTTTTCTATAGACCCACTGAACTTAAATAAAGTCAATTCAGGTTTGCTATGGTAAAAATTTTCTTTCCCAAGTGAAAATCATCACAAAAATGGCAAAAGTCATTTTGTCACAACTTATTTTCTCTCAAAAAAAAGTGGATTTTCATACTTTTATAGGGGTAAAATATTGAAAAATGACTGTTTTATCATCATCTAAACAAATATCAAGGACACTTGATATGAACCCCATGAAACTAGGAATTTTCTGAAAGCAAATGATATATTCTTTCATTTAAAAAGTAAAATTGGCTCATGTAAATGACTCAAATTTTTATTTCAGGGGATTAAATGTAAATAAAAATTGAAAATTTTGTATTTTTTCTAGTTCTAAACAAAAACTTTCCACATTAACGGGAAATTAACCATTTTTTTTGGAAAATCAGAAAACCTAAATAATAAACTATTTCAGGCATAAAATTGAGAGTTTTGAAGGAAATCAACATTCCTAGGGGGTCAAAATGCAACAAAGTCCATTGGTAATTTTCAATTATATGACTGCCAGGCCACGGAAATCCACAGAAATCTTTAGTAAATGGCGAAAGATTTATCTGCAATTCCTGACCACCAGAAACCAAAAGTAAAATTAAGCCAAATTGACTTTGACATGTCTGGGTCAGAGGTCAGCTAGCTAGCCAGCAATAAACATTTAGAACAAGTTGTATTCAGCTTGTAATAAAACTTACCACTCCCAGATAAGAGCAAAGAGTGAAAAAAAAGGGTCAACATTGGTAGGGCTTGATATGTTTTTTTCTTTTTCAAACCTATGTTTGAACAATGGCTTGATGCGTTTTGTAACACCCCGTGACCCAGTGATGACAACACTTAGCAGACGACATTGTTTTTTTGCCACATGTCTTTCATATTTCCCCATCGCTGGGCCATTTAGCCATTCCTTTTATTCAATGATGTTCATGCCAAATTAAGGAGAAAGGGATGAAGTTTGAATGATATTACTTTGAAGTGAAAATAAATATTTTTCATAAAAAAAAAAAAAAAAGGGGATTTTTCTCTGAAAATTTGGCATAATTTCTTAACGCTAACTGCTGAGTGACATTTTCCACAGCCAAATCGAAGATTAATTACCAGTGAATAATTCCATGTGCAAGCAATAGCTGTCTGGATCCTATAATGTCTCCCAAAAAGATCCAGAAGTTTACTGATTGATCAAAAACTTGTTGCACATAATTGTGTTTTTTATGGTCAGTTTCCATTATTTCATCTTGATGTTGTCATTTTCGGACAGCCAAGTCATCAAAGATTCAGGAAAACAGTTTGGCTCAGGTTTGCTTTAAGAACTTTACATTCGATGAGGTGTTCAAAATGTTACTGACAAATGCGATTTTTCGCCAAATATTTCGTTTACGCGCCATGTTGGATTTTCCTATATGACAAAAATAAGCCTTTTAAACAGCCACGATGATGAAGTGTGGTCACAGGGTCACTGTGCAGCTGAACACCTAACCAGCTTCCTTCATATATCTTGGTTGTATATCAATGTCAGTCTCTATGAACAATCTTTCCATTCATTCATTGATACTTTCAGCCGTTTTTTTTCTCTTTTGCTTAAGGTGGAAACTTTTAGGATGGCAATGGAAAGATTTTTGGCTTTCATGATATGGCCATATCATTACAACTTTCTTTTCTTGATGGTGGTTATGAGGTCTTTTTCCACTGCATTGTTTGTGATTTGGTCTATGTAAGAGATGCCTAGTATGGTTGGGTATCATTTTAATGCTTGGTTTCTTTGCTTTAATTCTGCTGTTCATGTCTAATACCCAAGATATTTGAATTGGCTCACTACTTTAAAATCCTGATCATTGAACTTTATATTGATTGAAAACTTATTTTACATCATGAGATTAATCAATGATTAGAAAATCTGAAGACTATATTTCTTATAAAGTAGATGTAAATGTGGGTAGCAAAAATTACTTTCCAAAAATATATATATCAATGTGTCACAAAATTAGGCTTTCAAAACCATTTTGAAACCAAAAGTCAGTTAGCTACTTACATAGACTATTCTTTCGTTTGTATTATTAAGAGATATTTTCACGCTTGTTTAGTCTCTAGTGAATGTTCAAAACCAAATCCTTTTTCCTATATAGCAAAAGCAGATCTGGCAAAAGATCTCCACGTCAAAATATAAATGAACTGTAACATTTTATATTACCTTCTCCCTGTCTATTTTGGCAATGTACTAAAAGGTTAGGTTTTACACACACGCAAACATGCATACATACATGCATATAAGGTTAGAAAAATAAAAAAGATGTGAAAAACGAAAGAGAAAGAAGAGAAAGAGAAAGAAGAGAAAGAGAAAGAAGAGAAAGAGAAAGAAGAGAAAGAGAAAGAAGAGAAAGAGAAAGAAGAGAAAGAGAAAGAAGAGAAAGAGAAAGAAGAGAAAGAAGAGAAAGAGCAGGGGACAGAGAAAGAGCAGGGGACAAAGAAAGAGAAGAGGAGAAAGAGGAGAGGACAAAGAAAGAGAAGAGGAGAAAGAGGAGAGGACAAAGAAAGAGAAGAGGAGAAAGAGGAGAGGACAAAGAAAGAGAAGAGGAGAAAGAGGAGAGGACAAAAAGAAAGGAGAAGAGGAGGACAAAGAAAGAGAGAGGACAAAGGGACAAAGAAAAGAAGAGGAGAAAGAGGAGAGGACAAAGAAAGAGAAGAGGAGAAAGAGGAGAGGACAAAGAAAGAGAAGAGGAGAAAGAGGAGAGGACAAAGAAAGAGAAGAGGAGAAAGAGGAGAGGACAAAGAAAGAGAAGAGGAGAAAGAGGAGAGGACAAAGAAAGAGGAAAGGACAAAGAAAGAAGAGAAAAAAAAGAGAATTCAAATGTTTAGATGTTACTCAGGGATTTGGATAAATACTGTTTGTTGATATCATGCCAAGAAATAAAACTGGACAGTACTTGATCTAAGAGGACTAATGTCCACTTTGATTGCCACAACAGGGAGGTTTGGAGTCATAGAGTAATGTCAAACACAAAATAAATCATCACATGAAAAAAGAATTAAGTGTTTTAGAAATAATTAAATTTTTACACTGTAAAGAAAAAAAACTTTATTTTTACATGTTTTTCTCACTTCCATGTTTAAAAATATCATAAAAGCATTTCTCTTTTCAATTTATATAATCTCTCATAATGTTTAAATGAAAGATGCTTCAAAATTAATGCCTTCTATTTATTTACACAGAAACTAAAACACATACAGGGAGGCAGAATAATGCCACTGGATAGAGCAAGTTTTTAGAAACAATTCTTATTTTCCAATCACCACTAATAAGGTTTCCTTTTTTTTTTTTTTTAACAGCAGTGAACAAGAATCTGCATAGAACTCTTGTAAAATCTGCCTCAGTAGAATTGATCCACTTTCTCACAGCAGCAATTAACCATTTCTTTACTCTGCTCATATTCACTGTTTGGTCTCCACAAACATTTACTAAGGGTTAATAGCTGCAAGGTATATAGAATAGCAAAAGTTATCTTTCAGAAACTGAGTAACACTCAGAGATTAGTAAATAAACTGAGTAGTATCTAGAGACTGTTAAATAACTTTAGCAAATAAGAAAAGTGTTCTGGACTTCTATGTCTATCCTCCTAGATAGCAGTAAAGTTTGGCAGTTTCATCACAAATATAACAAAAAAGAAATGAAAAAAGACATTAGGCAATCAAGATATAGTTCTACCAATGACTGGTGAGGATACCATGCACAGAGAATGTGATCAATGAGGAGGTTCTAAAGAGAATAGGAACTACAAAGAAACTACTAGTAACAATTACAGACAGATGAAAGTTTTGAGATACATAAAAAAGGAAAGCTCAGAGAAATTAACACAAAGCACACATTAAAAAATATCATGCCAGTTACATGGAGCTGAATTAAACTAATTTCCTCTGTTCCAAAGTTCAACTCCTAACTCCTCCCTACAAAAACTGCCACTTTGTGGAATAGACTTCAAGAGACAGCAATTAATCATTCTTAACTTGCTACCAACTTGTATTACATTCATATCACATACCTCATTCTATTCTAACTGTAACCCTTGACTTTCAGTGGCTCTTGAGCCCTGAACTGAGTGAAATATAGTATAAAAGAAAAGAAAAAGAGAAGCATGGAGAAACAAGTATCACAAACAGAAAGAACTACTAAGAGCAATAAAGATTAGAAGCTGGGAGAGCCATAATCATCCACCATCCTGAAAGGGGATGGGACCCAGAAAAAAATTATTTATGATCAAGTGACATTTTATGTGTGGAAGAGGTTTCTCTTTTAAAGAAAGTTTATTTACATTATTTATTAAAAGATTTTTAAAAATAAATTCAGTTATCAGTGCACTAAGTACACACAGTTATTAAATTTCAATATTTTATTGAATATTTATAATTTAAAAAAAAAAAAAAAAAAATGAGTTTGTCTTGGGCATTCAAATTCTATCGATTTTTAGAAAATAAATTTTGCAACATTTCTCAGACTTAACTATTTGTATATATTGGATGAAAATAATTTTCTGTCAGAAAATATTTAATTCATTTTTTTCCTGTTATAAAATTTAAGATAAATCATAAAAAAATCTAAGAAAATTTCTCCTAATATATGGTCAATCTTGTAAAAGACCATAAGAATACTTAGTGTGAATGTGTGTGTGTATAAATAAATATTTTATTACTTAAACATTATTTTTAGTGGATATCACTATTTGAGTAGAAGTTCTATTTATTTATTAAGCATTTATTAAACCATTTTCTTCTGCAGACCTGAATATCTAACAACGGTTTCTCCTGCCAAGTAGGATGTAAGTTTGAATTTCTGCTGCAGAGCACATAATTTTCTTTAATAAGTGTTCTTAAATATTCAGACCAATAGAGGAATATATATATATATATATATATGTTTTTTAAAATAAACAGAGTGTCTACTCAAATAAGGGTATCCACTAAAAATAATGTGGAGTAATCAAATCTCTCAGATTAATAAATAAAAATCAACAACTGCTTTAAAAATATATAAATTAAAAGCGGACAATGAAGTCAGTAGTAACCATATTTCATTTTAAATGCCGTCTTCATGCCATGTGTGTTGTGTTTTGATTTGACTATATATGCTGGTCAATAGTGCATTATGGGTAGAAAGTCTATTGTGTTCTCCAAATGGTTACTGGATGCATGCTAATGGTTATGTTTCAATTTCTTCTAGAGACTATTGAGTAGAAAGTGTGCGTGTGTGTGTGTATATATATATATATATCTATCACCGATAACACAACAGAGTTTCATGCAATCTTCAGGTGCTGAGTATAGACTGACAGTTATGTAATTTAAATTTTAAAAATATCTGGTTATTGCAATGTTGGTGCAGTTAAATTTTATACTGGGATTACAGATCAAAGAATCAAGCCAACATCATAAAATTCTAGATAATTTACATAAATCAATCCAAGTTAGATTATCTACTAACTCCAGCAATAACGAAATATTTGATAATGATAAAATTAAGTATATAAAAACTTTAGAACTAAACAACCATAAAATAAATTTCAGAAAAAACAAAAAAGGTGGTAAAAGTAAATAGAAACACTATAAGCATAACATTCACCTTTTAATCATAATTTTCAAACTGATAATATTGTATACCGAGCTAGCATACATGATAAATTTTATTTTGGTTCTACCGAAAAACCTTGGAAATTTAATTTCATCGAATTACTTTAGGCAATATAAAATACAAAACAGCACTTCTCTCTCTAGATATTTCTGGCAATTAAAGAATAATGGTAATACACTAAAATAACCCTACCTTATTAAAGAGAAATGAATTAGTTACATGTAAGCATAAAAATAAATATCTGCTTGAATACAATGATCCACATTAATTTTTAATGTAAATTACAGTGATTTTTTTTTAAAAAAAAATAAAAAAAAGGTAATCTATTTATGCTTAATATAAAAAAATGAAAGTTAATATTCACAACTTTAAAAATTTTTTTCACACTATATATGTACACACACTCACAAATTCCACTTATTTTAAATGCCAAATATTTTTAAAATTCAAAAATTGTAATCCCAGTATAATAAGTGCACCAACATTACGATAACCAAATGTTTGTTTTTAATTTAAATTACATAATAGTCAGCATATACTCAGCACTTCAAGATGGCATTGTGCATAAAACACCCAGTTGTACTATTAGTTAGGGATATGTAGATTACTTAATAGCTCTGTTGTATTACACTGAGCACTGTTTTATTAACACTAGCACTATATGTGCAATATATTGTGTGTGTGTATGTGTTTAAAATAGCTAGCCTCATTGTCAATAATAAAAATTCTCCAGCAACATCCAAAGTACATAGTTCTAATTTATGAATTTACATACCCCTTAAAAGAACTGCATTCCTACCAAAAATAAACTCAAGAAGAATAATTACATTGGATATACGACATGCCAATCAAGAAGACTTTGCATCTCTCAGATCATAGCTCCATTGGGAGCCATTTAAATACACACGGAAACCTGCCAACCTCTATATGCAACATTCTTATAGAAAATACAAACATAATACACTGATCTAAATGCAGATTAATGCTTAAAATAATGAAAGCATTAACAACAAAGAAGAAGAAACCAACTCTCAATAATATCAATTATAAACACAGTTGCAATGTGCTGATTGTGTTTGGATGTTTATGTTGTTTACATATTCAGACAAAAAAAAGAAAAGAAAAAGAAACAAATTTGATAATGGCTAATAAATTAGCTGAAAGTGCTCAGAAACTCAGATCATTTGGACAGCTGTTGCACACTATGTCAAAAAAAAAAAAAAATCCACACATACAAATATAACAGAAATATAATAAAAAAAACCTCAATCACAATGCCTTACCAGTCATCTTCAACGAAACCTGTATAAAAGAGGGTCTACTTCCCAAATACACAATGTATATGAGATAACAATATACTTTTATATATCAAAAACAATATTGGGGAAAAAATGTATGACAAAGTGTAAAGTTTTTTTGATGCATTTTATTGGATTAAAATTAGCTACACATATGCATATGAATAAGTGATGCTCTAAATTTAAAATTTAATTTTTGTTTTTTATTTAGATTTTTTTTTTTCATCACTTAAAATTCCCAGCATCACCCATTTGTGCATATATGTGGTTACATCAACATAAGAAATTTAGACTGATAATGTCCTAAAGGATGAAATGCATCGCAAGAAAACTTTTCCCACTATATATATATATTATTGAAGAAATTAATTAATTTTTTATTTATTCATCTTACATCTTTTATTACTTTTACCAGAGGGTGTAATTTTCTTTAATAAGATTTCTTGAATGTTCAGGTGAGAAGACGGAATAAAATACTGTTTAAAAATAAATGGACCAACTACTCACATATTGGTATCTGCTAAAAATAATTTTTATTGTAATATATATATATATATATATATACATATATATATATATTTATATATAATATATATATATATATATATATATATATATATATATATATATATATATATATATATATATATATATATATTAGTAAATAAATGACTAAAAAGTGCAAAAACTTATCTTGTCTGAGTCACACAGAAATAACTCAGTTCTTCAGGCACAAGATAAATCAGTTTCTGCAAACTAGAAATTGGAAGGTAAGTCTTTCTTCATTTATTTACTATTAATACATTATCTCTTGATTTTGAGTACTTTATTTACAAAATCTTCTCACCTTAAAACTTATCTTTTAGTAATATACTGCATGATGTTTTTGTTTTGTTAGTATTTTTTTTTTTTTTAGGTGATATCAATTTTCCTTCTTCCATCTGTTTACATATTTTTTTAAAAATCTATATATCTAAAATATTCAAAATTCCCTTCAATCATTTAAGAAAAAGTTAATACTTAATCTTGAAAATCCTAAAAACCCCTCATATTTACTTTGTAAT